GCGCACACGCATTGTCTTTCATTAGTTATTTGCGTCAAAAATTAATGAATGAACGTAAAACAATTTCATAATCAGAACTTTGAAATTCAACAACACAATAAATTCGTGCCAAAATCCATCAATAACTGTCAAGTCGTTTCGTAGTAATTGGGCAACAAACAAACAAACAGATTTACGGCGTTAGTCGGATTTGTATGTCGAGTTAACGTGGATATGTTACTGATAAATCTGTCAAACTAGACATTCCGTAATGTTCCGAGGGAAGTGACCCTTTACCTTTGTTTTTCAAATTGTCTAGTAGGGCAGTAGAATACTTTTCTCGAAGCATAAAAAAGTTCAACTTATTTGAAATAGGTACAACCTAGATAGAGTATTTAACTACCCGAGTGGCAATGTTTTTCTATGTGTTATTTATGGCTGCCAACATAGAGTATAAAAGCAATAATAAAGCTATTCTTATTGTATTATTTCTCAACCAATCGACTAATAACGGTTTTGACTGCACTGTTGGTGCGGTGGCTGGGCAACCGGCTGCCGTGCAACGTGTCGCGGGTTCGATTCCCGCACGGGACAACACTTTGTGTGATCCACAAATTGTTGTTCCGGGTCTGGGTGTAATTGTGTATGTGAACTTGTATGTTTGTAAACGCACCCACGGCACAGGAGAAAATCCTAGTGTGGGACAACGTTTTAAAAAAAATAAAAAAAATAAGTTAGGGCCGTAATCCTTAGACATTTAACAAAATGCCTGTATTATGAGATATTCTAGTAACATATACATTCATTATGTATTATATAATACACAATATATACATTGCCCTTGTCTCAATTCCTAACAAAGCGATAACAAACATAATATAAATCACTCGTCCATATATTGTCGATTTCTATATAATTTACGATCCAAAACTCCGACAACTTTATTAGTGCGGTCACAAAAGTTGTAGAAGCGAACAAATATGATGAGAGGCGTTGAAATTGAGGTGTATATTTAATTTTGTTTTGTGAATATCTCGAGTTTCTATTAGCATAATGTGAAGGGACGAGGTATTTTGTCTTTGGTGCATGCCTTGTTAGGTATTGGTCCAGTAGTCGTAAGCGTGGTGAGTCAAAATGAGACTGTTTATTTGTTTCCAGCCTCCAGTATACCGATACTTAGATACTGTTAATTTCGACGTCAAAAATATAAAAAAATAGAGGTATCTTTTAGACAAAGTATAGTGTATGAAAGTGGGGTACCTACTGCTGAACGTAGGCCTCGCTCAATGACTTCCAGGTTAGTTGCATCCAGCGGTTCCGTCCGTCCACCTGTCTCTCGTTTGACCTTATTCCTTTTAAAATATAACTAAAACCTGAGCCTGACAAACGTATTTATCAAAAAGCTGGTACAATGTCTTTAGCTGTACATGCTGACGGATTAGGGTAGATGCCTAATTTTTATTTTAATGTCCGTCTGGTAGATTGATTTAAATCATTAGATACGTATTTTTTATTTTCTTACAGAAACGAATACTTTCAACGATATATTAATTTGAAATGTCGCGTGTCGTCACTTCTATGTACATTTTATACGTAAAAATGACGTTTTAGCCCCCACTCCTAAACTTTGATTCGTTTTATGTAAGTAGGTATTGTTTTATTATACGACAAAGTAAAAAAATACGTGTCTAATATTTTTTCATTAGATACTTACGGACTAAATAGATTTTTAATTTTCATACCCTGTCATCATCCCAATTCTTGAAAATCCTATAACATTTTAAAAAAGGTACCTATGTATCTCCAAGTCAAGGTTAAAGGTCTTATTGTTCCACATTTACTAATGTAACTCATATATTGCGAAACCTTTACAAAACCATAAGAATAACCATAAATCATGGATAGATATAGGCCATGGTCTTCTGTCCAAAGGTATTAACACCCATTGTTTTTGTAAAGACTATATCAATATTAAAGTAGGCCAGTTGAGGCTTAAGGATGCTTAAATAAAAATACAATGGACTGACATAATACTGTGGTTATTTTGAGTACAAAATCAAAATACTTTTCGTTTAAAAACTTCTTTGTTATGGAACTCTTTTTGTATGGGATAAGCAGTCCTGATGGTAAGCAATCGGCGTCGCCTATGAACACCTGGAACACCAGAGACGTTACAAGTAAAGAAAGAAAGAAAGAAAAGCTTTAATTTACACGCTAAAACAGGTGACACATACAGATATTACACATGAGTTAAAAAATATCTACTAATGTACCAAGTCTGCGGTGAAATGGGACCAGTTCAGCATGTGCAAGACAGGGCCTCGCGCTGGTATTCTACTGGCCCATTAAGTGACTCGCAGACGAACAAGCCACCAATCAGACAACAATAGTAAGTTACCGGGTTTTTGGGTATTAGGAATTTGCGGATTTTTGGGGATTTTGACGTTAGTAACATCATCGTCATCTGCTCGAGGTCTGGACTAATCGGTCTCCTCTACATGAGAAGGTTTAGTTTGCTTACAGAGTTTGAAAATCACAGTTTAACTCGTCGAGTACCGGTTTTGTAGACACAATTATAGAACAATAGGTTGCGGTCACCGGTGACCGCTTGGTGTTTGACAGTTTAAAATAATATTCACATAAATGATATTTGATATGATATTTTCGAGTGATTTTGCAGTTTATTTGGTTATTTCTAACATTATGCGATAGTAGAGAATATTATATTGAATGTTACATAGGTACCTACCTCTATTTGTAAAGTGCCGTAACTTTAGCCTTGACTACAGGTCTAGTGCCCGTGCATAGACTGCAAAAGTTCAAGTGTTTGCAAAGGTACGAATCAAGTGAGTCCACGTTATGTCTACAAGCAATGGAAATAGCCCAAGTGACATTTAAGTGCAACTAGGTTCCTCGTAATAAACAAATGTTTACATTATAATATGAGTGTCTAAGCCTTTACTGAACAAGATAATTTGGTATTGATTCTTAACCGGTTACCACTGAATGTTAATGTCTTTCGAAGGATGTCCTCGACTAAGGGACTATATATCTTTGGCAGAGCTCTCTGATAAACCGAAACTACGAACAACAATACACATGCCATGTGAAGAGATTATGGCAAACCCTCAAAGCCAGCGGACGGCGAGCATGGGTGGCTAGCCGCCCAATTAGAACTAGAGTCGAGCCTGCGGCGCGTCGCGTTCCGCGCGCGCCTTAATGAGCCATCAGGCCACCATGGATGGGGCCCAATAGGGCTGATGTCGATACGGAACCGCGGAGAACCTAACGGGTTACCGGGGCTCCGGCTCGTAGTGCATGAGTTGGAACGGGGTGGTTTTTAGTTAGTAAAGAGTCTGACACTCCCTCCCGTCTCACCCAGGTGGGAGAAGTCATTCGATGATTTTCCCCCCTTAAAAAAAACCTCAAATCTAGAGGAAACCCATAATCCAGCACTGGACAGTTATGATGTTTTCCTCCATCCATACAGCTCAATTTACTCTCGAAAAAGACACGTTCACCCAAATAAACATAATACATTTGAATCATAAACAAACGCTCACTGACTGAAACCTCAACAGATGTTGAACTAAAAAGTAACTCTAGATCCTCTATAAATTGTAGTCAAGTTTAATGGTTTCACTAACACAAACAAATGAAAACATTTACTGCGATACACTCGCTATTTATAAACCATAAACTCTGAAAGGCAAAGAGTACAAAAAAGAAATATAGACGTGCCACTTTTCTGTAATAAGTAAAATCTCTGGCTAGTCTTACCAACCTAATCTGTTTTAAGATTTGACTATAAAGATGAAAAAGAAAATGTAATCAATATTCCATAATTTACGTAGAACTTCAATCTACCATTGACTGAGACTGGTCTGTCTGATATTCAAAGATAGATAAAGTACGAGACACACACATTATGTTATTTGTACATAATACATAGATCATACATCTAAACACAGGTAAAGATTCTAGACTCCGTGTTAGGACTTGACGGGTTGCCGGAGCTCCGGCTCGAAGAGCAGAAGTAGGAACGGGGTGGGTTTTAGTCATTAAGAGTCTGACATTGCATATCGCCTCACCCAAGATGGGAGAAGTCAATGCATGATTTTACGACCTCAAAAAAAAGACTCCATGTGATTAGTGTAAAATCTCCGGAAAAGTGATAAGTCAGACATTTTGTTTTGGTGTTGCGTATCTTGCTAAGGTATTCGTATACCGTATCCATAATTGAGAGTAATCGACCACCCATGGACCCTAAATCGTTTATACCATCATATTGTGCAATTACATTTACAAAAAGCTCACCTCACTGAAGCCAATTTATATCGCATCTACAACTTTATAGTCTGTTTCAACAATGTATTAGTCATTTACTATTCTTTCTTCATTACTACAGCTATTAAAGTCTTTAGAATTTATGTCGTGTCGTATGTGTTTTACAGTTTACTAACAAATTGTCGAGTCTGCGTAAATTTATTCTTTGAGTCTTATAGTGCGTTGACCCATTTCTCACAAAATGTTCTCGATAACGATTGCCAATGAGTTTTGAGATTTCTTTATGGATTCTAGTACTCTTTTTGACTTTTTTTTAGGTCATCCACCTCTATGATATGTGCCTCTTGAACCTATATTACTAGTTTTCAAGTAATAATAATAAATATAGAGGTAATAAAACTTTTATGTTATGACTAGGATTTGCAAGCATAAGCAGTTCGTTTTTATTTTTATTTTTATTCTCTAGTTCAATAATCGCGATCATGATTGTTATTGGACGAGTTTCTAAGGTGAGGTGTCATAGGATAAGAAATGTATCTATGGGATTTCCCATAGAAAATTAATCTTCATCGTCCTCATTATCACCGTATGCTTTCGTATACCTCAAGAGAAAACTCTTTAAGTTTCTCTTCATGTATAAGTGACCAAAACATAAGATTATATAACTTTAATCACAGATTCTAATGTGTCTTTTTAAGTGTCCATAATTAATGTATTTCTATCTTTTGTTACAGATTACCAATTACGCTTCTGTTTTGTGGGGCAGTCGGGTTAGTGGTTGCATACTCCGGACCTGATCTACCACCTGGCCCATACTGCGGCCGCACTGGAGAGTGCTGTCAAGACAGGCAGGATAGCTGCTCACATAGAATTCTAGGTAAAATAGATTTTATTACTAAACTATCGTACAACTGGATTCACTATTACAAGTCAAATGAGGTTGTGTCCGATTTTTTATGATATTTCCTACGTTTCACTTTACTATACGAAAACTAAACAATACATCGCTAACCGATGACACGATGTAACCACTACAACAGACTAGTCAAAAGCTGTTTTGTTATTATTTTTCAATCATGATGCCAAACTGCCGAACTTGCCTAATTTAAGTGGCAAGAGCAAAGTAAGGTAAAGCTTGATATTAATGAATTTATTTGTGGCACAGTCTCATCGTTGCCTTTACGTTTGAATTCTTGGGAGATTGTTACTGGCTACAAAATAAAGAAAGAGTCAGTCAGTCTCTTTTGTCTCCATTCTTTCTCAATGAGTATTTTTCATCCTTAAAACACTTCATTTACGCCTTCTTCTCTATACTCTCTTCCAGATAGCAAATGTTACTGCGACCAGTTCTGCAACAGGACACAGGGCCACGATGACTGTTGCCCTGACTATCCACAAGTCTGCCTTGGAGTCACTCCAGCCCCTGCGCCCAATACCATGGGCTGCAGATACGGACGCAAGATCTATGTCCCTGGAGACACCGTGAACCAAGACTGTCATGTTTGGTAAGTGATTTATTTTTTAAATTATAGGTATATCATTTGATGGTTCGTGATTTCGGTCATCCGTGCTCCACGAAGGTCGTCGTGAGCCGCAGCAATGATAAATAATCTGCAATGAGAAGGATTACTTTGAAAGTTGTGTGATTGGTTGCCGTTCTATGAAACCTTTTCGGAGTAAATCCTTTAAATACATTAGTCTCACTTTCCGCAGTTGCTATAAAATTCATAATGCAAATAAATTGTATCTCGATATAAATAGAAGTCACGTAATAAACAAACCATAAACAAAGCAATTAAAATTCTATCTCATAATAGTCACTTCACTATTTAGCACCCAATAAAATTAAAAGAAAACCTCAAAAACATTAATAAAATAGGCCACTAAGGGACTATGAGAAAGTTTTAAACGAAAACGAAATTAATTTTGTCGCCACAACACGTCAAATAAATAATTGGCGCCATTATTAAACTCAGAGCCAATAAAGTTAACGCATTATTTATTCAAACAACAATATATTTTTAGTCTGGCAGTTTACGAAACACTGCCACTAAAGAATTTCTTGCGAATAAAATAATGGGATCTTTAAACTTTGGCCCATTTCTCGAATCACGAATATCACGATTTGTCGATGACTCATATTAAAAAAAAAACACCTTTACTTTATTCCTGTCCTGGTAATTTTGACACTTTTATGTCGTCAACAGACTATTAATTTTTTTAAAGCAGGTGTTGCAAGCCTTTTTATGATAATTTAAATGAGGTTAATTTTATTGTTTTTGGGTAATTGGTTTTAGATGGGATGTAGGAGATTTTAGAGATATTTAAATTCTAGTATACTATGCCATCGATCACATAAAATACTTATTTTATGTGGGATGAGAATTCATGAAGTATTTTTAAAATAATATTTTATTATTTATTTTCGTAAAGTTTTTAATCTTGAAACTAAGAATATATTTTTAAAGTCTGTTTTTATTTGTTTTTAACATCTTGTTTTGCCTTTTGACCAAAAGCATGCCGTATGCGGTAAAGCATTTAAACAAATCCTATAAACCACAGGTCATTTGAATGGTAACAACCGGACCATTTGACCGTGAACCTCAAATAAGTTTACATTACCGAACAATTGTTGCCAATTCACTGTTTGATCTTGACATCTGATTGAAACGTTATCCATACATGACGTTACCAATCGATTTGACTTTACAATATTAGTATCAATTATGTACATACCACTTTTTTCTTCGCAAATATTGGAGCTTAAAGAGGTCTAACTTCTTTTAAGCAATTTGACCTTCCTTATTTTCTTGTCCTGGGAAATAGGAATGGATTTATGATGAATTTTTAATTTAATGTCCGTCTGGTAGATTATTTAAAAACATTAGACACATTTTTTACGGAAACTGATTTGAAATGTCGTCATTTCTATGTACATTTTATACCTACGTAGAAATGACGTTTTAGCCCCCACTCCTAAATAGTGATTCGTTATTTCTAAGTATCATTTTATTATACAACAAAATAAAAAAATACGTGTCTAATATATTTTCATTATCTAACTGACGGAAGAATTACATTTTTAATTTTCATACCCTGTCATTATTCCTATTGATGCAAGCGTGACCTCAGATATGATTGGATACGTTATTTAACATCTGGTTTCTCCCAGAACTAAAACAGTCTGGAAAAAAAGAGTCAAGTGGAGTTTCTTCTTCATACGATTGTACATTTTGGAACAAGCAAATAGCTTAACTAACCTATTATCTGTCGATATAAGAGACACAATAGAAAACGCATTGTGTCTTGCGTACATCTGCTCTCCATCATACCAGACGTCTTCTTTACTTTGATAGGTAGCTTTTGGTACAATTCAATGAAACGATTTGTATTTTACACTGCGGGGTAGCTTGACTACTGTCTAGTATCATCTTCGAACATAACTTCTTCAAGATCGTAGACACAGCTATAAATAGACAGACATAAATAAGCTTTATTAATATTGATCAATGTGCAAGTTCTAGCTTCTAGTACAGAAAGTTACCTGGCGCTAGGAAAGTGGAAATTCCTTTATAGGTAGTGCCTCCGTAATATAATAATGAATGTGGACATTCGACATTTTACGTCTAGAGGTTCGATCTCCGGGTCAAAGAACATATTGTTGTCTAGGTGACTGGGTAATAAGTTGTAGTAGTATTTATAACTTCAAGTGTTGCTCGTTCTTTGCCATTCAAAACTACAATTTGGAATGAGCCTAGCGTCACTGACAGACAGACGGACAAATCAATTTTTGACGTTTCAAAAGTGCCTAATTAAGGTTTGATTGAAGTAAGTGCTTTGACATTGACTTCGTTAAGAAAGTATCTCCAAATTCTATTACCTACCTAGTAACGTTTTTGGTCGTGGTCATCGTCTTCTACTTTCAAAATTCTTAGAGCTTGGAGCTTGGAGTCTAGAGACTATATTAGGCACGAGATTTGACCTTTATTAAATAGGATTAAGAATGTAACTGGCAAAAACTGGATATCTATCAGGTCTCATTCTTTAAAGCAATTTTTTTTTAATTAGACCTAACTTTGTTATTTTTCTTTCTATGATCTTAATATACATACAAATTAAACACATAAACACCAATATTTTTCACAATGCTTTGTATGCCATTGTAACATAATGACAGTTCTTAGATTAACGGTTTTTTTTTAGTTGCGATATGTTCTGTGCTCATACTTACGATATGGTCTTAAACCAGTCGCGGAGAACCTAACGGGTTACCAGGACTCCGGCTCGAAGCGCAGGAGAAAGAACGGGGTGGTTTTTAGCCAGTAAGAGTCTGAAACTCCCTCCCGCCTCACCCAGGCGGGAGCAATCATTCGATGATTTTCCCCCCTGAAAAAAAATGGTCTTTAACCAAAGAATATGTTAAAAACATCTTAACCTGAGAGAGAAAATCTAAAGTCTAGACATGAACAATAAAACCAGACAATCAATGACTGTTTTCCATGTAGTTAAAATTCCACATTCACAGCTCATGGAGCTACCCTTAACTCATTAACATCTTCAAAACATTTTCAACCTTTCTCTTTTGTAAGAAAGTTGATAATCGCTTAAATTGTTTAGAGTACTTTGATATGCTGTTTGCACATTCTACAGGGTGTTTGTAAGTTGTTTAACAGCTGTTTACTTGTTAGTTAGGACATGTTCTGCATATGTATTCGCACCTGTGTGGAGACAACATCTGTTTGTCTTAACTGTAACTGTCTAATATGGATAACAAATAAATCTTATACAATTATATAAAGCAGAAGAGTTTGCTTTTTTGCTTGTTTGTTTGAACGCGCTAATCTCCGTAACTACAAGTATGATTTGAATAATTATTTTTGTGTTGGATAGCGCATTTATCGAGGATGGCTATGAGCTATAAAACATCACGCCACGAACAATAGGAGCTGAGCAGAGTGAGTGAAACCGCGTGGAAGTAGCTAGTTTATAAATAAATGAGTCTTTTGGAAACTTGCTAGTAATAGCGGGCTACATTAGCGCCGTGAAGCTCTGTCAAGAGGCGTGAACGTGAATGAGGACGGTTTTCACGCTGTTTACCTGCGTTCGCGCCTGTTCCCCAACCAGGGGGCTTACTTTTGAATCCAATTAAGATCTATCGACATTGGTATAGTGAAATTTCGTACTCTTGAGTGTGAACACCAGCGCCCATTGCATCCGTATTGCGTGGATATTTAATGAACTAAATGATATTGAGTTTGCTTTTATATTTCGTACTCTGAATGTTATTTTAACAGCTACGATGAGAGGGGTTGTATAGTTTTGATATTGAATAATTATTGAGATTTTTTAAGAAGTTGCATTGAAATTGAGATTGCGTTCAAGAGTAAGCACCCAGAGCCGGTAATGCACGAATGTGAAGCCGTCATAAAAAGTTGATTACCAAGTATAGGGGAAAATAAATATTCTTTAATGGCGGCTCCACATTAGTGGCGTAAATTCACGCGCGAATTCTCTCTGTGAATTCACGGACCGACTCCATGCCCTCCACATTCACTGGATGTTCACAATCGTCCGAAACCCGCCGCGAAATGGACGTAGAAGCTGCTGCTGCGATATCTTTATTTGCTGTGTCCCTATACCACTTAATATATGTCCAAAACAAGAAGACTCTGATCGGGGAACAGGCGTGAACGCGCGTGAACCCTGTGAAAACCGTCCACATTCACGTTCGCGCCTGTTCACGGACCTTCACGGCACTAATGTGGAGCCGCCATAAATACATCAACAATTAATCTTTGATATTTTTTGTGTAGTAAACTATTTAAATTCCTTGACAACAAATAAATTCAATATCTTCAAAATCACAATTGCGTAGTTAATCTCACATTAGACAAATCACACGGCACTACACTGTAAACTAAACTCGCTTTGAAGTAACGAATTACACGGTGCGCATGCGCAGACGCAAGTAATTTTCCTAATATAAGTCACACAATGCAATTATGAATGTCCGCGTAACTGCACCCGTGGTAATGAGTTGTTATTTTTAGGTCTGACCCAGGTGTTTAAGATCTGGCATAGTGCCCACTTAGGGGACATAGGTAGGTATATAGGTAATAGGTACGGTGCTGTGGTTTTTTAAAGCCGAAACTATACGATGTTATGTTATTGGATGCATGGAGATTTTAAAAGAATTGCGACAATGAAAAGAGCAACAAAGTCAACTGGGAAAAACAGTATTGAGATTTTTGTATTAAACAATGAAAGTAGATAATGTTGATGAATACAAATCAATCACTGCAAGACTCTGAAGTCTTTGATTTCGAAAAAAAGGTGAAAGAATCGAGTGCTTCTATATACCTTAATTTTATAAGAAAAAAAATATAATCCCCAGTAGTAAATTGATAAGACGGGGCTGACATGTTCCTAAACGAAAAGGCCCTAAAACCATAGACAATAAAAAAAATATGAGTCAAAGGTACGCTTATTAAACTGTCAAACACCA